GCACTAGAAAAGGAAACTCCTAGAAAAATCTTGAGCTTCTGCTAGTCTATTGTTGTGTCCTTTTCTTTTGCTGTTTCATGCAACCTCAGGTTTCTGTAGCCATGATCCAACATGCTAGCCACTAAACCTTTTCAGCGTTCTGTGTGTATCAGCTCACAGGGATAATCTGGGCTTTATAGTTCAGTAAACTTTAAATAATGAACCATATTCATTCTTCATATGTCAGCTACTGTTTCTTGCATAGAAATCTGATCTACTGTTGACCTGATTGTACTGTATTTATGTTGACATTTGTCAAGGTTTTTCTTTGTATACAGCCAGAACCTTTCCAAAAGTATTGTTACAAATATTTCATGATTAGTAACCAAAAGGGCAATGCAGCGGTAGTTGTGCAAACTTATTTCACTTCTGACTTTCTTAAGTAAAGTGGCACTCGTTTCTAGCAATGACATTGCAGAAAGAAGGCACCATCTGGTGTTGTCTGACAAGGGTTGGCCAGACACAGCTTTTTCATTTGCCGACATTTGGCTGATGGCTCTGCCATCCATTCTGGAATCTAATCTTGATTTCAGGTATCCAGTTCCACTGCAAACAAACTGGCTTTGGCAGCCCCATTGCTGTAGATTAGGCCATGCAAGCCCAGGGTGTTTTTTTATCTTTGTGTGAGATACAAAGTTTGGGGAGGCTTCTCATGTCCAAACATGTGTGGATGCCTCTTGTGCCAACACAGAGTGATTATGATTTGCAATCATAAATGAGATTATTTTGAACAGATATCCTGTTTCTGTGCCTATTTTATTGCATTTATTTTTACCTTTTCCCCCTCTTGGCTTATGTAGTTCCATTTTATCCTCACAACCACAACCCTGTGGGGTAACTTAGGCTGACACTGAATGACTGGCCTGAAGTTACCCAGTGTTAGCATTCATCACACTAAGCTGGTGAGGCTGGGAGCCATTGCTGGCACATCCCAAAAAGTTGATCACTTTAAGGTCACAGTGAGAAACCATCCTTCTGGTCCATCTAGCTGTATTTGAGTCTAGCCTTATTATCCCCACTGGATAAGTAACAATATCTTTATTTTCTTGAGAAATAATTGTGACAATATGTAAAGCCAAGTAAATGCTAATCAAAATACACAATGACATCTCACTCCTCTCAGCTGCCAGCTGTCAGAACTGCACTGTTCTCCCTTCAGCTCTCAGCTCGCACAGAACCCAATCACCATGGAATTCTATTGTCAGTAGAGCTCACCTAAAGGAAATATTTGCCTCCCGTTTCATAAGAAGTTGCAATCTATATTTCTGCAAGTAAGTGCATACATAATCTGTTGAATTTTAATAAAACAGGGCACTCCTCCACTTTGCCACAGGCTCTCCTTCCACATGGAACAAGGCCTGGGGCAAGTGGGAATTTTACTCCCACAGCACCACCTTGGTCCTGCTGAAGAAACACAATCGGGGAAAGCAATAAACAGTAAATGAAGGTGAACTTAATAAGTTACAAATAGAACAACTGAAATACAAACTGGGAAAATGAAAATTGTTTCCCATTACCACCAGGCTTCTTTGTTTATGGAATGTGTGCCCTGTCACATAACAAAGCCTGTTGAAAACAAAAATGCCATTCGTTACTCAAAAATTGCCAAAAAGAAGGAACACCTCACCGAGGCACAAATGAAGAAGCAGAGGTTCACATCAAGTTTGCATGTGCTAAGTTTAGAAATAATTACTATACATTTCCATAAATACAACTTACCATAGTGGAGGACACTGGGACTCTCTTCTGTTGATGGGCTAATTCAAGGCCCCTGCTTCTTTATCTTCAACCTAGACTTGGATTGGATGGTACTTTAAAGAGGGAACACATATGAGCAGGAGACTGTCTTTTGGTTGTCTTCACAATGATGTCTCTCAACTACAACGGCTGCTAGTAAGCTACTTAGCTAACTTTAAAGTTTTGTTAATATATATAAAAATATAAACCTTGGGACCAAAGTACATTAAGGATTGTCTTATCCATCCATGCCTGCTGATCATCTGAGGGAACACTTGGTGAAGTTCCTTTCCTGGGAAAGGTACTTGGGTAGGTGGTAGATGAACAACTCTAAGCACTCTTGGATGAAACTAACTATCTGGATTTATTTTAATCAGACTTCAGGCCTGGTTTTGGAATGGAAACTGCCTTGGCTGCACTGTGGGATGACCATTGCTGGGGGAGAGATGGGAGTGCAACCCTGTTGATTCTCCTGGACCTGTCAGCGGCTTTCGGTACCATTGACATGATATCCTTCTGGATAGGATGGCTGGGTTGGGAGTAAGAAATACTGTAGTGCAATCTTCTACTACTACATGATGGACTAATTCCAGAAGGTGGTACAGGGGGATTGTTGCTCTGTGCCATGGCAGTTATGCCATGGAGGACCGCAGGGCTTTTTTCTGTCCCCCATGATTTTCAACATCTACATGAAACTGTTGAGGGAGGTTATCCAGAGGCATGGCCTGAATATGCTGATGAAACTCAGCTCAACCTCTGTTTTTCATCAAACCCAGGTGAGGCAGTGATGTTTTGAATCACTGTCTGGGCTTGGTCATGGACTGGATGAGGACCAATAAATTGAAGCTTAATCCAGACAAGATGGAGGTGCTGTTGGTGGGAGGATCTTCTGCCCAGATGGATGATGTTATACTTGAATGGGGTTGCATTCTCCCTAAAAGACAGGATTTGTAGTTTCTGGATCCAGAACTGTTGCCTGAATCACGAGTGGTTGGTGGCATGGAACACCTTTTATCAGCTAAGCTGATATACCATCTATGATCCTATCTGTACAGGCCAAGCCTAGCTATAATAATCCATGCTCTGGTAACTCTTTGGGCTATTGTAATGCACTGTGGGGTTGCCTTTGAAAATGGTCCAGAAACTTCAATTGATTCAAAAATAGCCAAGCATAAGGAGAAACCTCTGGAGGTTAACACGAAACCTCTTCAACTATCAAGTGTGATAACTGAAGGAGTCTGGGTATCTTCTGTAATGCCTGCACTTTTGTGAAAATCCCACTCCCCCCACCCCCACAGTTTTAATGGTTTCTTAAAACTTGCCTACATCCTTTCGCCAACTGTTTCTTATACTAGCAAGGAAGAGTGAAGAAAAAAAAGAGACCTATAATTCTGATACTGGAACACTAGTATTTCTCTGCCATCTCAAGTATTGTATTTTCCAAGGATGCTCCAATTGTATGTCTAGATCCATACGTATTTTTATACTGTAATTACAGTTGTAATACAGGAGCTTCTGTAGCTAATACTGCAGACTGTAAAATCTATAAACATATGGCAAAATGATAAGCAGGAGCTGACAGATGGTCATAATTGGTTCAGAAAAAACAATACAAAATGAAAGATTTTAATTGGTTTTATCAAGAGTGTACCCAATTTCATGCAATAGAATCACTGAAGGTGGTAGTTAAGGAATTATTCTCTCCAGCCTTGCTATGCGTTCTTTGCATCTTTGGGCCAGCAAGAGAAATCGGGCATTTTGCTGAAGTATTGCCAACTCTTTGACCCAGCAGTTACCTTATGTGAACTGACAGAGGCGGCTGAGGTCCCCTATTGGTCCTAGGAGATATTAACATCCATGCTAAATGTATCCTATCTGGGGTGGCTCAATTTTTCATGAACTCTATGACAACCATGGAACTATCCCAACACATCATCCACCCAACACATGTAGCAGGACACACTTTAGATTTGTTTTTGTAGCCATTCCTGGGAATAGTGACTTGAAGGTGGGAGACTTTGAGTCAGTTCCTTTGTCATGATCAGATCACTGCCTACTGAGATAAAGATTAACATTCATTTTTCTTCTGTGCAAAGGTGGGAGACCTATTAAAATGGTGTGCCCCTAGAGGCTAATGGATCTGGATGGCTTCCAGAGAGTTTGTGTGGGGGGGTGGCTTATAGGGGTGGTGGTCCTGTTGAACCCCTGGTTAATCTCTGGAATGATCAAAGATGACCTGGGCACTTGACACGATAGATCCCAAGTACCTTCTCTGTAGTAGAACTTATATGGTTTTGTGGTATATCCTGGAGCTAGCAGCAACAACGCAATGAAGATGGCAGGAATGCAGATGGAAATAAACTCCTAGTGGGTACAATCAAGTTCTGATAACTACCTATAGTCAGGCATGTCTAAGGGCAGTGAGGACAGCAAAGAAACAAATCTCACTGCCTATGTTCAATTTTCTGCTCAGTGGAGAATTTTAGAGGTTTATTATATGATGGGCCCAAGGATGTTGCATACCCATCTAAGTTCTACTGCAATGCTGGAAACTTCTAAGAAAAAGTCTCTTGCATCAAGTGGACCATAGACTTCAGTGTTATAGCAGTTGAATCAGCTAAGGTACCCAGAGTAAAGCCTGGCCAGGTTTTATTGGCTAAGTTTCAGCTGATACAGCTCCAGGATGTTGACAAAGGTACATGGACAGGTTCATGCAAGGAATGTGCTCCCCAGAGAGGTCCGCCTGGCGCCGTCGTTATTTGTTTTTCGGCGCCAGGCTAAGACCTTTTTATTTAAAACTTATTTTAATTGTTAAATTATTTGAATTAATTAGGATTTACAAAATTTTTAGCTGAGAATGCACCGGGGGTTTTTAAACAATTTTTTAAATTGTTATATTGTTATTATTTATGTATTTATGTATCCTTTGTGAGCCGCCCTGAGGCTTTGTTGCGATGGGGGTGGCATAGAAATGTTTTAAATACATACATACATACATACTGGATCCTTGCTGTCCTGGCTTGTAAAGAGGGAATACCCAGGTGGGACAGGGAGGTGACCATAGAATTATAGAACAGTAACATTGGAAAAGGCCTATAAGGCCATGGAGTCCAATACAAATAATTTTGTTCCAAACATGTATTACTATTAAGGCATAAAATATACTGCAAAACCACCACAGCTTAATAATAGAATTTTAAATCAGTGACAACATGTCAAAATGAAATATTAAATATTATATGATGAAATATCGTGAATAATATTATGATGAAATAGTAAATGGATTTCAAACTAACACTTTGAAAAAAGAATGAATTGCATTGTCATGTGCTGCCGGTATGAACTCTGAAGAATACTGTATAAGTATTCTTTTCTAATCAGTAAATGCATTTCTCCAGTTGCTATTTCATCTTATTTTTTCTTCTTTCCACCTTTCCCTCCTTTTTTTTTCTGCACATCTGGGGTTTTCTTCTCTTGCTCTGCTCGAAGGGCGGCTTCTTCAGCTGCTAGTGCTTCTTGTCTCAATCGCTCAGCCTCTAGTAGCTTAGCTCTGTATGCCTCCCGGACACTGAGAACCCTGCCTCGTGCTTCATCTAAGGATGCCTATCCAAAGACAAAAAGGCACATACCATGCAAAATCAATCCTTCCTATGTAATAAAGCAAAGTGTCTCTCTACTAACTTTGCTAGTGGGTCACTTATTCCAAAGATATTTATGTCTTATCCTTTGCCCTTTCAATGGCATGCTTCATGCATTTGGGTATTCACCTTTAAAAATCAATGTGGATTCTTATGAATTACAAACATGTTGAGAAGATTTCAGGGTTGAAAAAACATGTCCCACACTTCACAACCAAAAGCAGAGCACAGATCCTCCCTACCTTCAGGGAAAATGGCAATGAATTATTATTTGATTTTGTTTTCATCTTACGACAATAAGCTGCCATTTCCCAAGAGTCAATAATGCAGATGGGAGTTCACATAGTAAGTGCACAATTCTAGGATGTCCTGACATTATCTGGGAGGCCATGGGCTTCTTTGGAACCCCAGGTCCAATTTTCTGTAACTTCAGTGCTGGAACTCCAATTGCAGAGAGCCCACCCTGGCAGTTGGAAATCCACCTTGGAGAGGAAGAAAAGGGTGTGCTGTGGGAGTGGGGAGGGGAGGATGCTGGTTCTGATGGTTTGCACCATACCCAAACAGCACCCTGGCTTCCTTCCCTCCCTCTCCACAGCACTTCATCTTGGCAGCAAAAACATCCCTCTATATTGAGGGCGTGAGGTGCGATGGTGGTGCCTCAAAAACAGAGGGCAGGGACTACCGCCTCTCTGAATTATTGTTGTGAATCAGTTATAATTGATATATGTGCACTAGCATATGTAGTTTTTAGAAATTTTCTTTGCCCACAGCAGGCAATTTTGTTACAAAAGTGTTGTATGTTTAATAAACATAATAATTATATTGCATTTTAATATATGTGCCTAAGTGTTGCTTGCTCGTTATCTCTCTCTCTCTCTCTCTCTCTCTCTCTCTCTCTCTCTCTCTCTCTCTCGTGTGTGCGTTGCTATGACCACATATTTTAATTCCTCTCCCCTCTCAGCATGTCAAATTTTGTTAGAAGATCTAGGAATTCATGGAGAAAAATACCAACTGGTAAAAACTGCCTAGAAGAAATGTCATTGGTAAGCATGTCTAAGGAGAGGAAGTTGGCTTAATTAATTAGCAGAATTTTGGAGACTTACTTGTAGATTTTCATACATTTCAAGTACATTTTGCTTCAACTGATTCCTAGCCATGTGTTCTTGTTGTCTGTGTTCCAGAACCAGCTCTCGAAACTGTCTAAAGTTATTGATTTCTTCTGCTTTATGCATCTCTTGCTCCTGAATAATAGACTCATTCTTCAGCACAGGCTCAGGCAGTGTTTTTCTGAGAGTGAAAAAAGGAAGGGATGGCATAACCTTTTTAGAGAGCTGCTTAAGGAGAATTGATTTGAGGGCCGCAGAATCCAGGTACACTTCATTTCCACCAGAGATGCTTTGGTGGTAACTCTGCATAAACAAAGAAGTGCTAAATACAAGGGCATAAATGTGGAACTGGCTGAGTTCTTTTTAAATAACTTTTGTCCTTTGCACTATCAACTAAAAAGTGAACCTTAGGACATGGGACATACTGCAGTTTACCTAATGTAGGGGGTGAGGTCTAGATGCTCCCATTCCTTTCTCTGAGTTGCTGAGCCGGTTTCAGCAGCTACTGCAGGTGATGCAATTAGTTCAGAAGCAGGAGAGACAGTGCCTGGCAAAATAACAACAGAAAGCATCAGTGTGGTGAATGAATAGCATCCCCCCTCCTCTTTTTTAAACACAGAACATTTCTTAGCCACTGTGCATTTTCGGATGGGACCTTTGATCTTGGGGAGAGGAAAGAAAAAAAAGAGGAACCCTGATTGTAACTGGGGAAAGAGAATTCCCCTAACCAAATGTCTTCTTTCAGAGGGGGAACACTTTAGAGGAATTTGAGAAGGGAGAGATATACTTAACTGTATAAGGCAAAATGACTGAAAGGTTTCTCTTGGTTTTTTTTTTTTTTTTTAAGTTGTAATGCTTGCTTAAAACTCCTCTGCTTACTGATAGAGCCATGAGGCACTATGCATACAACCTCCCCAGCCCTTCCTGGGATATGATATCATATAGCTGAACATTCCTTTTTCATTATTTATTCATCTATTAGATTTATGTCCCATCATTTTTCCTGTAACAAACCCAAGGCAACCTACATACTCCTCCTCTTCATCTCCATCTTATCCCCACAACAAATTCACAGATGATACCAACGTGGGGGCAGTGGCCACAACTGAGGAACAGGTGATCCAGATCCAGAAGGATCTGGACAAGCTGTGGAAGTGGGCAGGGGGCAGCAGGATGGCATTCAATGTGGATAAGTGCAAGGTCTTGCACTTGGGACACAGGAATGGGTGTTACATGTACAGGAAGGGGGAGACGTGGCTGGAGAGCAGCACTTGTGAAAGGGAACTTGTCGACAGCAGGCTGAACATGAGTCAGCAGTGTGATGCAGCAGTTAAGAAGGCAAATGCCACCCTTGGATGCATAGCCAGAAGCATGGCTTCCAGATCTAGGGAGGTGTTGCTACTGCTCTATACGATTCTGGTGCACCCACAACTGGACTACTGCATCCAGTTCTGGGCTCCACATTACAGGGGAGACATAGCTAGGTTAAAATCAGTTCAGTGCAGGGTCTCAAGAATGGTAACTGGCCTGGGAGGGATGACATATGAGGAGAGATTGAGGGAACTGGGTCTCTTCAGCCTGGAGAAGAGGAAACTCCAAGGGGATCTTTTAGCAACTTACAGGTATGTGAGGGAATGTCATGTGGAAGAGGGCCATGACCTGTTCTTCCCTGCAGTGGAGGGCAGGGCTTATTCCAATGGGGCAAAGCTCAAGGAGCCAGGCTTCAGGCTGGATATCAGGAAGTACTTCCTGATGGTTAGGATCCCAAGGATATGGAATGGGCTTCCAAGGGAGGTGGTTGAGGCCCCATCAGTCAGGGTGTTCAAAGAATGATTGGACAACCACATGTTGGGTATTGCATGAGTGGAGCTGGGGGTCAGGCTAGATGGCCGGAGACCCCTTCTGATTTGCTTTGGTTCTGTGTTTCTATTTAACAACCTTATGAAGTAGGTTAGGCTGAGAGTGAATGACTGGCCCAAATTACCTACAGAACTTCATGACCAAGTGGGGACTAGACTCCACATCTCCCAAGTTCCAGTCCAGTGAAGTTTTCCTAGTCCAGACAACTTCACTCAGCTGTGAATAGTGCATGACTTTTCTTCTCTTTTTAAGTTTAAAAGTCAGAAAATCATCATAAGGTTAAAATTAGCATATCTACCCCTGAAATTACAGATACATTTCTTTTAGCTCAGTGATCTTTTGAGGAGAGGTGAGTCATTTTGTCTTCTCTTAACAAGTGTGAAAAAATAATGTTCAAAATATTTGGTCCTGCCTTAATTTTGCCTTTATTTTTCAGCATACCACACCTGGATGAGAACTGACAGACATGCAATATTTTCATTCCTATGAATGTTGAACCTCGATGAAAATCCCACACCTGGAAAGTTTTTTAACAAGGCTTTTTACAGGGAAGATTGTGTTGGGCAGGGGGCACGGGCATACCTGCTTCTCCTGAGCCCACTGCAGCGCTGACACTTTCTGCCTCAGACTCCATCAAACCTTTCCGCATACATTTGTGAATAAACTGCATGCGCTCCTGAGCAGCCTGGGGGACAGAAATTTATTGCAAATACCAGAAAAACAAAACACTGGAAGCTGTATTAATTATCAAGCCATTTTTATAATGAAGCATTTTAACAGTGAAAGACTTGTTGAATATACACAAAAAGTACTGATGCAAAAGACAGCACTTTAACCTAATAGACATAATATGATCCTAAAACCTCTAAGTATCTCTGCATTCTCACTCTTTTTAGGAGATGCTTACTAAGTCAGCAGTGTTATTCTAATCTGCTGACAAATAGACAGGATTTGCTTGCCCTTTAGTTGAGCTGGCACTGCAGACAGACTTGAGAAATACAGTACAATATGGTGCACCCCAGGAGTAACTGGTGACTTTCTTTGAGATAATGGGAATGCAATTGTTCAATCCAAACTTCTTTTCCCACACCAAAATGTATATAGCTCTTTTGAAGTAAGGAGTACCTTTGAACATGTGCAGACTGTCACAGTCACTCCACTGAAAAGTGTCACAATGGCTGTCTTTACCATGGATAGGAAAACCTATGACCTTGATTTTAACATGAGGTTGAATCCTATCACCTATTTTTCAAGAGGGCCATTTTCAATGGCATAGAGATCATTACTATTGACACCTGGATGGCTGATGGCTCAGACTTCTTCCATCACTTCTTCCCTGACCCATTGTAGAAAGAGTGGATAGGATATAAAGGCAGAGGATAATACGGAACAAGGTGCTGAGTTTTTCCAAAACCCCTATAAAGTGCTCACAGCCAAAGTCCTCTCTTTATGACCAGTGCCTGGGGAAGTACCTGGAAAAATGGCTCGATTGACTGCCTTTGAAACCACACTGAAATGGATTGTAGCAGAATCTTTTGCTGGTTGTGACATTTCTGTTGTTTTGTTTTTATTAATAGAGTGGAGGAAAGGGAGCTGGGCACAAGGAATAGAAACTCCTGACCTGGAAAAGCCCTCTTTTCTGCCTCAAAGTGACACCATAAGCGTCTTTAAATGGTAAAGAAGAATACATGTTTTCCCACCACAAATGAGGCCCCCTGAGGCAATTGGAAGGCCAGAGAGAAAAAACCCAAATGAAACCATGGAGGTGCAGGATTAGACAGCAGTATTCTTCCCTGTCTACTGTCTGAGGTTGTTTGGAGGCAGACTGGGAAAGGGGTGCTAGTGGGGAGGGGCGTGAGCTTCACCAGAACCTTGCAAGAGCTCTACCATCTCTCTCTGAGACAGGGCTGATCTGAGCAAACAGAATTCTGCACCTGTGGGTGACATCATAATGTTGAACTAATCAAGTCAGGAGGAGGTGCAGCCCTTGCTGACAGAATGGCCAATTCCCAGAATAGGTTGTCAGTCCAGATGACATTCAGTCAGGCTTGAGACCCTCCATTTTTCATTGCAGAAATCCACTGGCAAGGCAGGCCTTTAAAGATAGGTACAAAAATCTAAACAATACAAAACAAGCTGCAAGACGAGTCACCAGGTTAGTTGCTTGTGGCAGGGGAAAAGGTCTTCATTCCTTTCTCTTACTTTTACCATTTTCCTTACCAAAACAAAAAACCAAACCAAAGCTGGGAAGCTATTACTTCCCTCTCTGTGCAACTCACTGGAAGCTGATTATCCCACTGGGAGACATCCATTTAAAATGCAAAGAGCATGTCACAATTAGGAAAGTGATCTCAACCTCTGTCAACCATATGGGATATAGGGTGTGGTCTAGGTGCTCAGGTAGGCATCCCAGGACAGGGCTCAAAACTCAGGCATGCTGGGAAAAGGTGTAGTCAATAGGTGTAGTATACTGTTCAGGCTCAGGCAGACAATCTGGACTCCTTCCTCAACTGTCTTCACACAGCTGCCATTCCATTAGGCTGTAGCAGAGACAGTGAAGGGCCTGCCGAGCGATTTCCATGCCTATCACACCCTCCATCTGGAATCCTCCTCCTGCTCCCATCTCCCCACCCCCAATTCAAGCCTGTCACTATAAGAACTTCATAATGTTAAGAACTAGCACCTCTCCCCCTTCATTACCAGTTTCCATTTTTAATTGATGACCTTTACTCATGGCATCTCTAGCCAAAGCAGGTTCCAAAGTGACTCTTTTTACCAGGCACACAATATTTGTACTCTGTAGTAGTGCATCATCGGGCATTTTAACCACCAGAAATGCTTCTACATGAGTGGAAACTAACACCCCTAATATCCAGTGATAAGCTGTTAGAGTGGGGCACCAACCAACATGAAGGCTTTGGGCAGGACAACAGCTCAGGGACAGATCACATCCTTGCAGTTAGAAGGTTCCACTTTCAGCCCACAGCCACTGGGCTCAGGCCACTCAATAACCCACACTCAAACACTAAATATGGTCACCAAGCTATGGCTTAAAATTATCATCCTGTTATACTGTCTGAACCCAGTTGAGATAACAAACCATGATGAACAACCAACAGTACAAATACCAACAACAAACCATGGAGTCTCTTCATGGTTAACAAGCCATGGCTTGCTTACACACACAGGTTCAGAAAATATGATAATAGCCTGCCATTTATCAACCCACATGTAACCCCTGAGTGTGTGTTACAGTCAAAAGGCCCAACACATTAAACCCATGGAAATTTTACCTGCACTTTGGGTCTAATTTCATTGTGCCTGACAGGTGACCAGGCATACTGAAGTGTTGCATTCTCCCTGCTCTTTCCCCCACATTCCTCCTGCAGTCTCCCAGGGGAGACTCTAGGAACACTCTGGTGGGCAGGATAACAGAGGTCAAAAGGGGGCACATGTGGCAGCCATCTTCTGCTTCCCCACTCAGTGCTTCTGCCAATGCCACAGGCTTTTTTCTTCTGGATGACACATTTATGTGTGAGCAGGTAATTACAGCCTACAACAAACCATGGGTAACTGGGTGGTTTATAAGCTGCTCCAAGGTTATCATGCCATTAGAATCCAGTAAATGTTGCCAGTGAAAAGGATATGGGAACAAATTATGGGAAGGACTTCTGTCTTCTTGACACCTTGGAAAATTGATGCCAAGCAGAACTGACAATACTGAGCTAGCTGAACAAATGATCTTACCTAGCATAATATTCCCTTATTCTTTATGCTGTTCCCAAAGGTACACTGGGATATACATGTAGTTGTGATGGCATATTAAAGAATAATATATTTAGAATTGAGTGTTCATTGGTAGTATGTAGTTGTATACCAACAGCAACATAGAACATATGGTACATCTTAGAGTTTGGGCTAAGTAGCTTAATTATTCTAATATGTGATTAAGTCTTGCCTGACAACTGAAAGATGAATCACTGAATTAAAGTACACACGTGGGTGAATGATTCATGTCACAACATTCAGCTGCAGTGCTTAGAATGACAGCAGCAGAAACAAAACAAAACAAAAAAAAATCAATATTTCTCCCTTAGATTATGTAATTTAGAGCTGTTTAAATGCCAGCAGTTAAATAACAAAAACAACTTTTGGTACATTAAAGAGAAACATGCAGACAATAAAGCAAAATATTTTTTTTTACAGCAATTGCAAATAAGAATGGATTTGTGATGCTTATGAAAAAGCTAGTAATATGGCCACAGTGTTTGCAAGCATACTTTGTGATAGGTTTGGAGCTCAATTAAGACCTTGAAAAGGTCTTTGGAATGGACCAAGGTGACATCTATTCAGCATTCCATCTGTAACAGTGACCAGTGAAATACTAGAGTACTGGACTGATTAACATTAAGGAGTGATTATTTTGTAAATGTAATACAAACTGCCACTGGCAGCAGCTAAAGTAATGGACTAATCTAAAAGCAGGATGAAGGAGAAGCAAGGAAGGTAACACCTGACTGGTAAAGGAGGAAGATGGCAATATAATTAGTAGGCTTAGATATGCTAGTTAGTTTAGTATTTAGGAACCGTTGAGGTAGTTTAATTTACCAGTGTAGGAGATGCTATCCACATAAAGGTTTAAATAATAATTTGATACTAATTTTTAATCCAATGCAGTATTACATGGGAGTAAGTATAGTAAAAATTAGAAGGTTTTGCCTTTGAATGAACAAATTCAGGATTGAGCTGCTGTGTTTCCAAACTGCCCCTCATATGTTTATGAGTGTAAACACTACTGATCTCTCAGCCAACCTCTCTCCAATTGTAAATAAATTCTTATTTTCAACCATCAGTAAAATCAGAATGGCCACTACCATCAGCCTTGGTTATCTCCTCAAATAAAGGAAACAAGACAGGCAACTTTACTCTTTTGCCTGTTTGAAGTGCAGATCTTGCGTCTGCAATCAGAGCCACTCAAGGCATACCCTGCATGTTTTCCTACCACTATGTATCTAAAGCAGTTTCTCCGTCCTGTCCCAGCAGCAATCCTGAGTCTTTAAAGAACTATATTTGACATTGACAAATCACTGCAGGGAACTGACTTTAAGGATAGCACTTTGACAAGGCTACCCCTGCTGGCCCTCAGAACTTTTCATTTTAAATGTAAGTGTAATAGGATAAGCCCTGGTTACCTTGACAGCTCGCCCTGGCTCAGCACCCTCCCATGCTTGCTTCATAGCTTTGATCTCATCTGCTCTCTCAGTGTCTTTCCTGAAATCCAAGGCTTCCATATCATTTTGTTCAGTGACTAGACGTAAGATCCAGGAGGGCTTGTTTGGATCCGACTGCTGGAAATGAAATGCAATAGGTAAAGAACAGGCTGCTTTGGATCTATAGGACAGAACAAAACTGACAAACAATACTAAATGACTCAGTGAAATAAAGAGATGAAGTCTCAGAATACTATAAAATATATATGTGGTTTTATTCCAAGAACTAGCCTTTTGCATTTTGCCCCTGAGAATAGGCTTTCTTTGGGGCTTAGATTAGAGAAAGACAAACAGGACAAAAATGCATATTTATCCTTGTTCGTTTACATTCAGTGCTGTATGCATAATCTCCCTTCTCCATTTCATGCAAATCAGTGATTTGTTCAAAGTCACCCAGTAAGCTTGATGGCCTGAGTTGGGGATCTGGATCTTCTGAGTCACTCAGTCTACCACTCTAATCTCTGTACTACTGCATGATTCAACCACCACTGACAGCTTTTTTATGGTAGAAAGCAGCCGTAATAGATAGAAAATGGCTGGATATAAAATTAACCCAAATTTGAATTCTAGAATTAAAAACAGTTGTTTAAATTGGGGTTTAGGAGTGCTCTTAGCCATAGCTAGCAAAGGACCAGCATGCTGGATCATGGTTAAGGGTACTAGTAGGGATCTGTAAATGATGGGTGGGTGCTGGGTGGGAAGAGAGCATATGATTCTAGTGTTTGGGTAGAATTATGCCTACACGGCCCTGATCATTTGTGAGCCATCAGTGGGGCAAAAGGGAAAAAAAGAATCCCCTCTTTTCCATTTTACAAACACATGTCTCCCTGCCTTGTTGCTTTAAAATTATTATTTTGCCCCAGGCTACCAGGCAAATGATTACTTACAAGCTTAGTATGTCGTTCAACTATTGCTTAGCAATTTAGTAACTTCAAAACCTAGTATCAGAATGTAATGTGAATTTTAAAATATGTATGTCACTTATACCATATTCATGATGGTACAGAACTTTTGGAAGCCACTCAGAAGCTATTCAAATCATATGGTCAGGGCACTTGAGATTCTTTTCACCATTACCCTCTGTTAATGTTGCCATTAGATAATGGTCTCCCCAAAAAGAGGCACCTGAGGCCCTGGGCCAGAACAGGAAACCCAGATGGAAGCCCAGAGGGCTCCTGTGAAAAAATAGAATTGTTTCCCCTCACTGGATCATTATCAATCCACCTTAAAAAACATGTATGGAAGCTGGCAATGAAAACAAACATGAAAGAAGCCATCTGAATTGATCCTAAGTAGATGGACAGAAAAGGACTGCTCATAAATTGAGGCAATACATTTCCACCCAGGCATGTTCAAGAAATCCACAGTAGACTCAAATTGTTGTGAATTTCTATGAATTCAACCAGAAGATTCCACAGTGTTTTGGCTTTTCTTGAGTCACAGTTTCCATGGATCTGTAGCCAGCTGTTTTACATTATTTTATGTAAATTGTCATGTAAAATATGAAAAATTAAAATAGACCAAAAGGCAAATAAAGTACAAAATGCACATTTGGGGGGTTGCATATCTGGGGGGATTTGCACTTTTGAAGTACAAATTTGTGCAGCTGTGTATTTGCACAAAAGCATGTGAACTCATTTGCACAAATTCAATGAGTGGGTAATGGAATGAAAAGCAAAACGCAAATGAAAGAGATTTGACCAAGTCTGCACATCCCCATTCTGTATAACAAGCACTAAGATAGCAAAGGGGACATCTCAACCTATTAAGGGCTATATGGAGGGCTTGGGAAAGATGATTATGATTATGGAAGCGCGGAATAAAATATGTACTTGAACTTTGTGAGTGGTAAGTTGTGGTACTGATTTTCATTCTGCACCATCAGTGACAGTGGTATGTATTAAATTTTCATTATACCAGCAAATTTAAGTACTACATTGTGTACTCTTGAACAGTATTTCAAGACAGATACTGACCTAGCTAGAGGTGAACTATGGAACAAGGTATTATGAGTTTTAACTAAAGAGAAACTATCAAGTTTTTCTTCAATTTCTTATGCACACCTGGAGGAAGTGGGGAAGTCTATAGCAAGGAATTTCAAGAAATCTACCATGTAGAACCCATGAATTTAATCATACATTTTACAAAAGCATTTATTTTTACCTGTGATTCTGGTCTTGCAACAGATGTAGGTTTTTCTTTTGCAATCTTTTCTGCCTTGTCAGTTGTTTTTTCCTTTGTTTTGCGAGTTGTTTTGGAAGAGCCTGCAGATTTTTGTCCATCTAAGTTGCTGTGAATATCTGGACTGAGAATGGATATGCTTTCTTCATGTCTCTCAACAGGATGTGCTGTGCACAAACAATTATGTTTAAAGGTCAACAGTGACACTCTAAGAACTTAACTCTACAGTGGTTAATTCGCTTTCATCTGAATGGACAGTACTTTAATTAAGATTGCCACTCTCACATGGAACATTTGTGCTGGCATGTTTACTACGAGGCCAACAGTACACTGGTACACTGACATTTGGATGGGGCTACATCTAGCATCATGTCAATGATACTCTACTAGCACAATAGGACTCATCTTGTTTTGCTTCTACCCTGTGCCCCAATCTGTCTCCTAAATATGCTCCTGAGACCCTGTTAACAATTTGAAACAGATTTGCGGCAGTGGAGGAGGGCATGCAGGGAGCTTCAAGAGGGAGTGGGAATTTATTTTGTCAGTGGTGCCTATTCTGCTTGAGGATGGACATGTATTTTATTTATTCATTTGATTTATATGTTGCCCCATTAACCACAGGCTCTCTGGGTTGCTTACCTCATGATAAAATCCTAGACAGCATAAAAAACAATACAATGCACAGCACAACAACTCCCAATTACAAAGATCAATAACAATAAAACCATTACATAAACAGATTAGAAATAATATAAATAAGTAATATGTTCTATAAAACTCTAAAAATAAAACATAAACATAAACCAATTAAAATTTTAGCTTATAGCAATAGTTAGCATTTAAAACATACTGGCAGCAGCCTATATTAGTGTGAAAATTAAAACATCATTCACCTGTTAAAATAACTGCAGAATAAATATATCTTAAGGTGGCACCTCTAGGCCAAAAGCCCAAGTGTCATCTGTACCTCCAGTGTAATCGCATTCCAAAGCTGGGGTGCTGTACTTGGAAAAAGTACATCACTGGATACAACCCATATCATGATTGCCATTGCCACTGCAAAATCAAACATTACCATTGCCATTGCAAGATCAAAGTTATTAATGTTGCATATAGAATGGCCCATGAAGCTGACAAAGAACTAGCAAGTCATTATTCAAAATTGGTTGCCCTTGAACCAACAGAAGCACCCTCTGTCTGGAACACAAGAGGAATCCTTGCTCCAACACAGAACTATAGGTATGTGTATTTATCTTTTTGAGTAATTATAGGCACTTGTTTTCAAAGGAAATTAAGGGATTTATCCAATGAAGACTGCCTTAGATCAGCCAGCCCCATTGATTCCCTTCTGAAAGCAGTGTCTACCTCATGTAGAATGGAGATTTAATGTTACCGGGAGCCACCCAAATCAATTGAAAAGCTGATTTCTGGAATGGGACAGGTTAGTAAGTAGAGCTCTCTCCTGAGCCCTGCTGGCCTGTCCCACCTGTTCATTCTGAGTGCTACATCTCCATTTCTCAAGCAGTGAGTGACTTATGGAAGGGAATTGAATCTGCAGGGTTGGCCAATTGTAGAGCAGAAGTGGTGGTAAGCCCTGCTCTCAGATGGACACCACTGAATAGTATCCACCACCACCATCTTATATCTCTATACTGCCCATAGCTGAAGCTCTTTAGGTGGTTCACAACATTTAAGTCACCCATCCAGATTTCATCCAGGCCTCACCCAGCTTAGCTTCCAAGTTTAGCCAGGAACAGGCACTTCAGGCTATGCACAGGATTGCACTGTTGATATTCATTCTGGTTAGAAAATCACTGATAACTTCTGTTCAGTCTGTTATTACCTTTGTAAACACTAAAGTCACGTGAAAAACTTTAATTTTAGCCCTTTGGATCAGTCTGGGAATCTAGTTATAGGTAGATATCAGCGAGGAAACAGAGTGAAATATTGTTTTTGTTATTTCCAAAAGCAATATATGTGGCTAAATAGTATACATGATGTTAGCACCAGTGAATGCAAAGTGATTTAATGCCAAGGATTGCTGCCCAAACTGAAGCAGTTGCTTTTATTGAAAATAAGAAAAATATAACTATAGTGAAAATATTTATGTGAAAAATATTGATGGTATAATTCAGAGGAACAATCTGATTACATATATAAGTTTGTATTTAATTTTATATTATCATATGTTGTCATGATAAATCAAGTTGGCACTGTAGCTTATGCTGTGAATTATTAAATTCTAAAAATTAATGTATGCATTAACCAGTGGGTAATGCCTGCATTACTCTAGGGGTAACCAGTGTTAAAACTTAATGAAGATATATAGCCCTTTTCAGATCTTGGGACAGTCATATTTCTGTGATTTTTAAAAACAAATTTCAGGTGCAAGCAAAGATAATTCAGTGCAGCTTAAAATACTATTTCTCATCCTGCCTACAGTATGTTATTATGTATCAGCTGCTACACTTGCAGAGAATACAATGGTAGACTTTACCTGGAGTCTAGAGGAACAGCTTCCCTTGACCTAGGCTAAATAATGATGCTAAAAAGCAAGGCATGCTTGAGAATGTATATGTGAACTTATTTCTCTGCAGCACTGTAGTGTACCTAGATCTTAAAGATTATGTCAGGTTTTCAGGAGGGAAGGGAAGCACAAGCAACACCATACTAATCAGGGATATTGAGAGCCCTGAGGCTGTGGAAGGCAGCGTTACTGCTATGACTTACTGACTCCAAAACTCATGCAAGTAAACATATTAGGCTCTGATCTTTCTAGAGGGTCTAGAAAAACAACATGAGATCCAGATACAGGAAGCCAAGACTGTGTATATCAAGAATAGATTCTGAGTACTGTAAAGCCAATTTGATTTTTTAAATGTATGTATATCTGTAACATAACAGTGAATTCAGAGAGGACATGAATTACAAGGTGAATACTCAAGCCACTTGGTTGGCTGTTGTGTAGGTGTTTTGTCTCCTCCTCCTCCCTCTCGGGAAACAAAATGCCCTCCTGTTGCTAAGCTGAGATGGGCAGAGCATGTAACTCTGGGGTAATGTGACATATTTGTCCTAGAAATATTTGCATATAGCAAGAATCTTGCACCAACTGGCATAATAGGCTACTTTGCAAATATTAATCCAAAAATTGAGTTCGTCTTCTACATTTTCCTTATAAGCTGTAACTCCCCTAAGCTGTAATTGTCACTAAGAAATAAATGAAGTATTAAGATGCATTCCTAAATTGTTCTTAATTCTAAGAAGGCATTCTAACAGAAGCATTCAAGTTAGCAAGCTGTATCTTCTTACTGATGTCTAACTTTGCTAACATAAAAAGGTCAAATATTTTCCAGGATGCACTCAGGAAAAGCAAGATTTTCTACCTAAATTGCATCAGATAAGAAAATTGGAAAAAGATAACTGCTTTCAAGACTATTGTCTACATGTCTGCTCATGTGTAGTTATGACACAAACAAGTGAACATAAATACTGGAGGAAGTAAACAGAACTAAGAAACATTTAAGATTTAAAAGTGAAACAATACATCTGTGAAGATAAGCAGATAGCATCCTCTTTTAGAGGGAAATGTGGCTCATGAAAGCTGAAAAGAATGAAATAAATACTCTCCAAAAGTTTTCTGGAACATTTGGAGAAAAAAATCCCTAATTGTTAAAGAAATATCATTTATGGACAGAAATTACATAAGCAGAGCTAATAATGAATCATATAAAATGAGGGGGGAAATGCCAGAACTTCAGAACCAAACATGAGTTCTTACCAGGACATGCCATCTGTCTTCATGAGAGACCAAAATAGCTGTCTCATTGAGTTCTCTGCTCCATTTTGCTACAATCTCAAAAATGTTTTGGGGTGAGGTATTTACCACTTTAAAGGAAATGCTTTCAATTATTCTTTAAAAGCTGGGTAATATGTTTTGCGTGCAACTGCCATGTATTCTTGTATGTTTAATGATCTTACTTCAAATGTGAATCAAAATATGTAAACTACTGAAGAGTTTAATGAAAAAGATGAAAAGGCATCCCTGATATCAGTATCCTCTATCTAAAAAATCCTGCATGTTAATTTTGTAAACTTACAAATTCCATGGTAATACTTTGTGCCTGGAATATGGCATGGGATAAATTAACTGGTGATCCATGAACAAAGAAAATCCAGAAATCCTTTATCATAATATCTCTAGACAAGGACAATCTGTCACAATAGTTTCTTGCCCAGCAGTAGTGGCAGTAGCAAGAGACAAGGTGGGAGGCAGTGAGTTCCTACTAGGGTGGCATCTGTCCTATATTACAGATAAAGTTGTCTGTCTGGAGGCAGCTTCTGCTTAAAGAACTATCCAGTTTAAAGAAAAATAATGCTAATGAGAGAGAGGCAAATCCTTGAAATCCATCAACTTTTAGTGACACAGCCTTGATGATGGTGAAGTGCAGTTTTATTTAAATTACAGAAATTATTTCTTTCTGAATTAATTAGCAAATGCACATTTTATGAACACTTGTTTCCTCTTTTGTTTTCTTTTTTGGTTTTGCATAAGTAGGCATCCTAAGTCCTGCAAGCCAGAGGAAAGGAAAAACATATAAGTAAGTTAATTGCTTGCTTGTTCTCCTAGACGCTACTGTGGTCACCGACTGTTGTTTTCTTGCTGATGGTGATATGAAATAAAGGGTCCTGTAGCTGCAGCCTACTTAAATCTCAGCTGACTAGCTTCAAGAAGAAGAGGACAAGGTTGCAATGGAACAGTCAGCTAGATAAGCTATCAGTTTGCTGCTATTCTACAGTCGCATAAATATTAAAAAGTGATCTCAGTGCACTTCCATTGTGTTTTAATCTACGTTTTTATATACAGCCATTTCCCCTCGATTTGTTAGTGTACTCATATAAACATAATGTACATTATAGGTCATACTGTAATGTTTGCCTATAATTAGTCTAGGATTGAGCAAAATGCCCCCTCTCTACTTTTGGCCTAGCCTTAAATAAATACTAATCTAGTAGACAAAAACATATGGAACATAAACAAAGAGAGATAAAAGTCACTATTCCAACATCTTGTTTTTCAAAATAGACAAGAGCCTGAGCAAAGAAGAGAAGGAGTAGCCTGTGTTATGTCTTTGTCCTGGGCCTCAAATAAATGATTACTGTGCACTGT